GGATGTTCCAGGAGAGGGGCAGTTCCAAGAGGGCGTCTGGCTCCTCAGGGACTCCTTGTCAGGGGCTTCAAGGTGGGCTGGAACAAGACTTGGGCCAATGGGGTCACAGACTCCTGATGCTTCAGGGGAGGGTTACAGGTGTGGGATGACCCAAACATTTTGGGGGGTGAGATAGAACATTCCATTTGACCTTTGGATTTATCTGTAGGTAAGGGCATTGTTCAACCAGAAGGGAGGATTGTCCTCATCCTGGCTGTACTATTGTTTTCTACTTGTTCAGTAACTAAACTTTGGTATCTCAAAACTTGTTACCATCTCAATCTCTGTATTTTCTAAGTCTTTTGCCAGACAATCATATTTATAAGGCTTTCCTATTTCATCTTCCCCAACAAAAATGTACCACTGTCGCCCTGATTCTTAAGATTTTCTAAAGCCTTCCGAGTCTGCATTCTGTTAGAGAGCTTTCTGACACAACCTTCTGTAAACAACCTATTGTTTTGCATTCCTTCATAGAAGTGGAGAAACTTGATGTACTAGTAGTTTGTCCAATGTCATTGGAGAGGTGGCACCTTCACCCTCCAATCCACTGTCACCTTTGAAAAAGTATAAATGCTGGAGTCAAAAAATAAACTCTCTCTTTTTCACCTTTGCAATAGCAGTGATTTGTGTTGTGCTTTCACGTGTCCTATAGTGACATACCACAGTATGGTAACGTCATGATTCTTATAGTATGTAAATGCTATAGGATTTGTATTGTGTACTGGGCTGATTAGCGAAAATTGGAATATCCGGCAGAGAAGATTTATGGTATTGTAACGGGAACTTGCCTCTCTGTCTCTTGCTCTCTGGGGCCTGCTGGGAGCTGTGGCTGCAGCCCCAGCAGGGCCCTGCTCCCGCTCCCTTTGCAATGCCCCCGAGTGCCGAGCCCGGCTGCAGAGATCCCCCGCTCCCGGCAGGCTCCCAGAGCCCCGCAGCGGCGCCCTGCCCGGCACCGAGCTCACCTCTCTGCCGATCAGCTTCACCCACACCCTGTCCCCCACCGCCAGCATCTCCGCGGGGCTGTCCACGGGGCACGAGGACAGCTGGCTCCGGTGCACGAGGCCTGCGGGGACAGAGGGACACGGGGACAGAGGGACGCGGGGACAGAGGGACACGGGGATTAGGGGGGACACGGGGATTAGGGGGGACACGGGGATTAGGGGGGACACGGGGACGGGTGGGACGGGACATGGGGACAGGCGTGGGTGGGACAGAGAGGGACAGAGGACAGGAAGAACGTTCACGCCCACCTTCCCGAAGGAATGGACCTTCCCATGCCATGTGGGAAGAATGTGGTGGGGCTCATAAATTAATGCATCAAATTGATAAATTTTCCATAAATTAATTAATGAAATAATTAATAAAATAAAAGAAGAATTATAACATTATTAAAAATAATAAAATTAATAATAAATTGATGCAATAAAAATAAAATTATAACATAAATAGAATAATAAATAAATAAAAACAATAACATGTATACTAATTACTACATTAATAATAAATTAATACAATAAAATGACAGCATAAATAGAATTAATAATAAAATAATGGACTAAAAATTGAAGTATAACATTAATAAAATTAATCAAAAAATCAATAGAATAATTAATATATTTAATAAAAATTATTAAAATATTAAATTCATTTTACTATAAAATATATGTTGTTATTTATGACTAATTGTGTTATTGATGTGATACTTTTATTCTATGAAATAATAAAATTAAACCACAGAATTAGTAATTGCATTAATAAACCAACAAAATAAAATAAAAACATGCATAAAATTAATAAATAAAATAATAAAATTAATCAACAAATTAAATGAATAAATAGGAGATAAATAAAATATAACAATTATTAGTGTTCAATTCATCCTCTACTCATCCTTTTATCAGTTTTACACAAACATTCCTCCACTAAACCTTGGATCTGCATTTCCAAAGTGCCTTGGAGCAGGTAATCCTTTGGGGTGTGGGAAGGATGTGGTTTTATTTATCAATAAATAGGATTTAAAAACTATTTGTTTTAAATCCTTTAAATTGAGTTTTATATTTATTTCAATTTCTATTCATTTATTTTTACTTTCTTTATTTTTATTTATTTAAAAATATGTTCCCTGCTACAATTTCTTCTGAAAACTTTATTAATTCCTTAGCTCATTTTTAATTTCTGTTTTTTGGTTATTGTTTTATAATGCAGCTACCACCAGTAAAGCTGCAGATGTTAATAAATTATATATTCTAATAAATATAGGAATATATCCTATATATATAATATATATACAGTAATAGATGTATCAAATATATATTACATATTATATATACAATAATATACATTATAATATTATATATTTGGTTATATATTTTATCTATAGTATATACAATTATATACCCTATAATATATATATTATATATGTATCTTTTATATTTTATATATAATAAAATATATTATAACCCATCTACTGTTATATGTGTTACATATACCTTCTATATAACATATATAGTAAAATGCAATACATATTGTTACTATACTTATTATTACTATTATTACTATTACTATTATTATTTAAGTTCCAGAATTTCCCCAAAACCCACCACAAAATATCCTTAAGTTACAAAAAAGTCCTTTGAGTCATTCTTGGTAATCATTCTACAGTCCATCATCTTCTAAATGCTTCCCAAATTTCTTCCTCATTTAGGAAAAAACTCCTTTTCTGATTTTTTTTCTGGAAGTTTTTAATTGCGAGGCGGCTGCTTGCCCTGGCCACAGCTCCATAAAACAGCTCCAGGGACACCAACCTTGTTTCCTGCAGCCAGGGATTCTGATAAAGGCCCCAAAATCCGTCACTGCAGCAACCTGGGGAGAAAATCAGAGCAGAGCTGCAGGAATCCCTTCCCAAAGAGGGAGAAATCACAGCAGAGCTGCAGGAATCCCTTCCCACACAGAGGAGAATGCCCAGCTCCATGTGTGGAGATGGGCACAGAATCAGCCATGGCTGGGCAGGAGGGACATTAAATCCCACCCAGTGCCACCCCAGGGACACCTCCACTGTGCCAGGCACTCCCAGTGTCCAGCCTGGCCTTGGGCACTGCCAGGGATCCAGGGGCAGCCACAGCTGCTCTGGGAATTCCAGCCCAGCCTCCCAGGGAACAATTCCCAATATCTCATCCATCCCTGTCATGGTAACAGGCCCCTGGCTGGGCGATAATTAGCATTGATTCCATGATTCAAGAAGGTTGATCAATATCTATCTTATTTTAAGAAACCCCCCCACTTTTATAGACAGTTACAATACAGGTAGACTTAATTACTCCTCTAATCAAACCACTATCACTACTGGCTAATTAAGAAACCACCCCTTGGTAAATAAATCCCCATAACACATTCCACATGTTCACAACACCAGGTGCAGCAAGTGAAGATAAGAATTGTTTCTCTGCTCTTCTCACAGCCTTGTCCAGCACAATGCCTGGGAACGTCGTGTTTCCCTCTGTGGGCACAGAGCTGCTGCCACACACAGCCCTGCCCTCTGGCAGTGGCACCAGGAAGAGCCCAAACCTCTCCACAAGGCCCTGCCAGGCTACAAACCCCCCCTGCATTTTCCAGTGGGGAACAGCACTGGGTGCACCTGGAACCATCCAGGAAATCATTATTTCCTTTCCTTTATCCCTCTGGTGCAATGATTTTTGGTCCTGGTTCTCATCCTTGATTTAGGAATCTGAATCCCAGAGTGGTTTGGGTGGGAGGGAATCTCATCCCAGCCCAGGGACCCCTCCCACTGTCCCAGGTGCTCCCAGTGTCCAGCCTGGCCTTGGGCACTGCCAGGGATCCAGGGGCAGCCACAGCTGCTCTGGGAATTCCAGCCCAGCCCCTGCCCACCCTGCCAGGGAACAATTCCCAATTCCCAATCTCCCATCCAGCCCTGCCCTCTGGCAGTGGGAGCCATTCCCTGGGTCCTGTCCCTCCATCCTTGTCCCCAGTCCCTCTGCAGCTCTCCTGGAGCCCCTCCAGGCCCTGCAGGGGCTCTGAGCTCTCCCTGGAGCTTCTCCTCTCCAGGGAGCACCCCCAGCTCTCCAGCCTGGCTCCAGAGGGGCTCCAGCCCTGCAGCAGCTCCGTGGATTCTTCTGGGCTCTCTCCAGGTGCTGCTGCTGTTGGAATTCCGAGCTCTGAGGGTGGGGAACCCAGTGACAGAAGAGGTCGGAACTGCCTCTCCTCGGCTGCCCCTGCAGCTGCACATGAACAGCCCCCGGACACAGGTTGTGCACCTGCACAGAGCTGTGCGTCCCCAGAGCTCCCCCGCGCTATCCCGACCGAACCCACGGAATGAATTCCCCCCGAGCTCGGCCCGGGCCGCGCCAGCCCGTGCCGCACCTCGCCCTGGAAGATGGAGTAGAGCTCGGGTAGCGGCTCCATCGCCTCCCGAGGCGCCGTGACAGCCTGCTGGATTCACCCTCGCTACCGCATCTCCTCTGCAGGATGCTGAGGAAAGAAAAATTTCATTAACGCCCGAAAAGCCCCAGAGAGCGCCCGGGGTTCAGCGCCTTGAGGGGCGCGGGGATGGACCCGCAGTGCTGCGGTGAAGGACTGACCTGGACCGGCACAGAGGGACAGGACGGCTCCTCCCGGAGCCCGCGGGGCGGTGGGGGCTCGTCAGCGCCCGCGGCAGCAACATCAGCGCGCCGCCATCGCCCCCTCACGCTGAGGGGCCACGCTCCTCGCCAATCACAGCGCGCAATGTTGCCGTGGGATGATCCCGCAGCCAATCAGCGTTACCCATACCACCCAGCGACCGCTTTCCTCCAATCAGAGCGAAGCGCGCCAGAAGGCGCCGCGCTCCCCGCTCCATCCTCAGCGCAGCGTCGGGGGGTGGGACCTGACCGGCGCTCCGCCAATCAGCGCGGCGGCCTCGGCAGCGACAGCCAATGGGGCGCGGGGGGCGGGGCGCGGCGGCCGCCATGATCGAGCAGCAGAAGCGGAAGGCGCCGGGCCCCGCGCCCGGGCCCGGTCCTGCCGCCCCCCCGGGCCCCACCGGCCCCGCCGCCGCCCCCGCGCCCGGCCCCGACCTCCCGCTCGTCCCCGCGCCCGCCAAGCGGCCCCGCCATGACCTTCCCGGGGCGCCGGGCACGGGCGGCGCGGGGGGACAGCCCGCGGCCGGAGCTCTGCTGCAGGCGGTAACGGGGGAACGTGAGGGGAGGGTGGGAGGAGATCGGGGTGGGACGGGAGGTGAGGGGACAGGAGAGGCCAGGCGTGGTTCCAGGAGCAGGGAAGGGCCACGAGCGTGGTGGGCTGGACACTGCTGAGGCACCTGTGTTAGGCTCTAGTCCCTCGGCTGGGGCCTGTCCGCGGAACGGAGCTGGGAAGGGAACTGAGCCTCAGGAGAGGCTGAGGGGGCTGGGAAGGGGCTGGAGAATCCCTGAGGGAGCTGGGAAGGGGCTCAGTCTGGAGAAAAGGAGGCTCAGGGGGACCTTGTGGCTCTCACAGCTCCTGCCAGGAGGGGACAGCCGGGGGGTCGGGCTCTGCTCCAGGAACAGGGACAGGAGGAGAGGGAACGGCCTCAGGCTGGGCCAGGGCAGGCTCAGGGTGGGCAGCAGCAGGAATTTCCCCATGGAAAGGGTGACCCCCCCCTTTCCATGGGGAAATTCCTGCTGCTGCCCACCCTTGGCCTTGGAACTGCCCAGGGAGGTTTGGAGTGCCATCCCTGGAGGTGTCCAAGGAACGTCCTGGATGTGGCACTCAGAGCTCTGGGCTGGGGATAAGCTGGGGACCAGGTTGCCTCAATGACCTTGGAGCTCTTTTCCAGCCTCAGTAATGCTGGAATTCTGGTGGGATGTGCTGTGGGAAGGTGAAGATGCTCGGCAGGGGTGGCAGGCTGGCCTTGCCCCTTGTCCCCTCACGGTGTCTCGGTGTCCCCCAGGGCCCCCCGCGCTGTTCCTCGCTGCAAGCCCCCATCATGCTGCTGTCAGGACACGAGGGGGAGGTTTACTGCTGCAAGTTCCATCCCAATGGCAACACCCTGGCCTCGGCTGGCTTCGACAGGCTCATCTGTGAGTGGCACTGCTGTCCCCTGCTGTCCTCCGGGCTCAGGCCCTGTTGCTGGGGGGTTTTAGCTCAGCCCTCACCTGGCTGGGTTCTGGGTGTGAATTGCTCCCCCATGGGGGTGCAGGAAGCTTTTCCCAGCTGCTCTGGCAGGTGTCATCCTGATGGTGCTGGAAAAGTGCCTTGCTGGGTGCCAGCTGTGACCGCCCTGTGTCCCTGGCACACGGCTTCCAGAGGTCTGCAGACATGCAGTTTTAATGCTTAGGCTTCCTGAAGCAAAAATTATAATTGTTCATAATAAACTCACCTTAACCAAGCTCCCTAAAGCTGCTCTGCACGATGCTTTGTCACTGCTGTGAGTTGTCCCAGCTGGGACTCAGCAGTGGGGCTGGTCCATCCCCACTTTGCTGAATCCCCAAAGATCAGCTCCATGCACAGCAGGGGCTGTTCCCGAGCCTTTCCTGTGCTCACCTGTCCCTTGCTGTCCCCCAGTGCTCTGGAATGTCTACGGGGACTGTGACAACTTTGCCACCCTGAAGGGACACAGCGGGGCTGTCATGGAGCTGCACTACAACACGGATGGCAGGTGAGGGCAGGGGTTCTGTGCTGCTCAGGGACTCACTGCAGCTCAGGGAACAGGGCTGGAGCCCCAGGAGAAGCTGAGGGAGCTGGGAAGGGGCTCAGCCTGGAGAAAAGGAGGCTCAGGGGGACCTTGTGGCTCTGCACAGCTCCTGCCAGGAGGGGACAGCCGGGGGGTCGGGCTCTGCTCCAGGAACAGGGACAGGAGGAGAGGGAACGGCCTCAGGCTGGGCCAGGGCAGGCTCAGGGTGGCAGCAGCAGGAATTTCCCCATGGAAAGGGTGCTCAGGCCTTGGAACTGCCCAGGGGGTTTGGAGTGCCCATCCCTGAGGCGGCAGTCAGAGCTCTGGGCTGGGGACAAGGTGGGGACCAGGCACAGCTCAGATTTGATGTTCTTGGAGCTCTTTTCCAACCTAAATGATTCTGGGGTTGTTACCTGTGCTCAGTCCATGGACACCAAGTCCTTGTAGTGTGGGCAAAGGATCTGGGGGCACCTGTGACCTCCCCCAGTGCCATTGATGCAGTTTTGGTGCACAGAGGGAAGTTTGTGTTGGGTGCCCGGGAGTCACTGGGGAGGGAGACAGAGAGCAAGTGAGATACTGGTTAATTTAAAAGGCTGTTCCACCATTGCTGCTGAGCTTTGCTGAGCTGTGCTCATCCTAGATGCTGCTTGAGGAGGCAGTGAAACCATTCACAGCAGGGATTAAGGGGAGTTTATCCATGCAGCTGTTCCAGTGTCAGTCAGCGTTTCAGGTGCCTCCAAAACACCAACAGGGGAGGTTGTTCCTGAAAGAAACTGGGAAGGGAGCTGGGCCCTCACAGTGGTTGTTCCTGCAGCATGCTCTTCTCAGCATCCACGGACAAAACCGTGGCTGTGTGGGACAGCGAGACGGGCGAGAGGGTCAAGAGGCTCAAGGGCCACACGTCCTTTGTCAACTCCTGCTACCCTGCCCGGAGGGGCCCCCAGCTCGTCTGCACGGGCAGCGACGATGGCACTGTCAAGGTCAGTGTGTGCCCTGGGCAAAGCCTAGGGAAAAAAGGTGGAGAAGCTTTTAGGATCTTCCCCTTTATCTGGGCTGATTTCAGCCTTTTGGTACTCGTTTTGTTAGCGCTCTGAGTTCAGAGGCAAAAATGTGACAGCAAATTTCACTGCTCTGTTTTTTCTGTGTTTCTCAGGGGGTTTGGGAAGCTTGAGCTGCTCAGCTGGGATTTTTCTGCTGCTCTGGCTCTGCACAGCTCCTGACAGGAGGGGACAGCCGGGGGGTCGGGCTCTGCTCCAGGAACAGGGACAGGAGGAGAGGGAACAGCCTCAGGCTGGGCCAGGGCAGGCTCAGGGTGGCAGCAGCAGGAATTTCCCCATGGAAAGAGGGCTCAGGCCTTGGAACTGCCCAGGGAGGTTTGGAGTCCCCATCCTTGGAGGTCCAAAGAGTTCTTTCTGGACAGAAAAACAGAAATGACAGTTTCTTTATGGATTAGCAAAGCATGAGAAAACTATTCCTGAAATCTGGGCTGTCCCCTTCTTCTTTCTTCTGTAATTTCCTGTACTGGCTCCTTTTTCTCTCTCCTGAAATCTGGGCTGGCCTCTTCTTCCTTGCCTTCATTCCTGTGCTCCAGACACAGCAGATTCAGTGTTTTTTATAAAGATCTCCAGATCTGATGTTTTTCATGAGACCTACAAATGGATTTCAGGAGAACAGGCTGAGTCCCTGCCAATATCTCTGCAGTGATTTTGTTGTGCACACCTCTTATAAGTGCCACTTTTCTTTCCAGCTGTGGGATATCAGGAAAAAAGCTGCTGTCCAGACATTCCAGAACACCTACCAGGTCCTGGCTGTCACCTTCAATGACACCAGTGACCAGATCATCTCTGGAGGCATCGACAATGACATCAAGGTAGGACCCTGTGTCCCTTTCCCCCTGTGCCCACCTTTTCCATCCTGTCACACCCTGTGTTGGTCAAGGACAGCCTTGGGTGCCACCTGCTGAATTTTACATCCCAACCCCCCTGGACCTGCTGTGTCCATCTCTGCTGGTGGTACAGAGCCAATAAAGTGGCATGGAGCTGTGACAGCCTGGCAGGGACAGCCTGGCACTCGGGTGTCCCAGCACTGCTGTCACCCGGGAGCCAGTGTGGAATGCTGGCTGTGCTGGCAGCCTGGGACAGAGCCAGCTGTGAGGTGAGCTGAAGAGAACGTGGTGACACGTCCCCTCTGTGCCCTCTGCCCCAGTCTGCAGCTGCCCCTGGCACCTGATGCTGTGGAAAGTTCTTTTTTAACAGTGAGCTCAGCTGATTGCCCTGGGGACTGCGGAGCTCTGGCTGTCCCCATGCCCTCAGCCCTGCTCTGGCCTGTCCCCAGCCTGTCACAGCCAGTGCTGTGTGGCACTGCCACCAGGGCTGTCATCAACCTGCCAGAGCTGTCCCCACCTGTCACAGCCAGTGCTCAGTGTGGTGCTGCCACCAGGGCTGTCCCCAGCCTGTCACAGTCAGAGCTCAGTGTGGCACTGCCACCAGGGCTGTCCCCAGCCTGTCACAGCCAGTGCTCAGTGTGGCACTGCCACCAG